AGCCAGACCCACTGAGCTCACCCCAGCCCCCATTTGGCCCTCTTCCTCTAGGCGTTGGAGCTTGAAATAGAGGCCGTTTGAGAGCTGACAATCAAAGGGCAACTAAAAAAAGTTCCCTCAGTCTGGGCTCTGTCGCACACAGCTCTTAGGGCCTATTTTCGGGGAGAGGGTGTCGACGTGCCAATGGAAAATCCATGGGGCGGGAGTCTCCAAGGTGGGGGACCCATGTGCCTCCCTCTCCCCATCCTGGACCCCAACCCCGGAGCACATGTGCATGAGCGTGCGCGCGCGCGCACACACACACACACATGAGCACATGTGCATGAGCGTGCGCGCGCGCACACACACACACACACACACACACACGCACACACACATACTTACAACCCTTAGCTGTTCCCTTTCCCAACTGTTGAACTTTGTTACCCTTGCAACAGCCCCAAAAAAGAATGAGGAAACTGAAGCTCAGAGAGGAGAAGCAACTTGCCCAAGGTCACACAGCTTGGAATTAGGCAGGACAGTGGCCAGCCTGGGCTTCTGTGGCTCACAGTACAGTGCTCTCCCCATGGAGGCAGCCCTTGCCTATTGCCTCACTGGAGAAACCAACACATTGTCTTCTAGGGCATCGAAAACTCGAAGATGGTACATTCTGGGTTGGCCTATGTAGGAAGCCGAGGGTGACTCGAGGGTCTTGATGACCACATGAAAAGAAATCCCACTGAAAACCCCAGGCCAGCTCTAATGGGACCTTGCCTGGCTGAAGGAGAGGTAGCTGGTGCAGGGCCTTGTCCCAGGTGAGCCCATCCCCCCACCCTGTCGCTGTGACCACCTTACTGCCCCCCTGCTCAGGCCTCCAGAGCCTTGCAGCCCCTGCCAAGTTTCCAGGGAATGTGTCAGATAAGGGGCTGGTGCTCATGACTCCCTCCTCCCCAGCCACTATCTCTGACCCTGCCACCACCAAGTGGGTAAGAATAGCAACAGCCCAATGAGTGGGCGTACACATAGCAACAATACAACAATGTCTTCAGGCAGGCAGCTTGGGCCTTCAGATTGAGAACAGATCTCCAGGTCCCGCTCCCCATCCGTTTCCAGCCCCATCTGGCTCCCCCACTGTCCTGGGCCTGAAGCCCTGCAATGCCTTATAATAAAGCACCAAGCTTCATCTTCTGCCACTGCTGCCTTGGGGGAGGGGACCTGGAGGAGAGCACACTGCCATGTCGATCCTAGTGTGGGACTAGAGCCCTGACCTCCACTGAGAATCTGTGTGACCTGAAGCTGGAGACTGTCCCTCTGTGGGCTCATAAGTGGGGAAAGGTGGCACAGCAGCCCTATGCAGCATGGGAAACAGTCAGCAAGGCCTCTCCTGGTGCTAGGGCTCCTCATTGTCCTGGTAACCGCAGCCTGGCCGGGCTACTGAATACCTCTGCAAACTCTGACCTTTTGACATCCTGGTCAGTGGGTATGTGGATGGGGTAAACGCGTGGGAGTTCCTGAGATATGATCACAGGGTGGAGGGCATATTGTGGCTGAGTCCCCTCTCTGAGGCTCCCTGTGACACTCCTGTGGGTGTGCTCCATTGTGTTGCAGAAGCGTGCAAGGGTAGCCGCATTACTCTGAGGGAAGAGGCTGTTGTCATGGAACCTGGAGTGAACGTCATTGTGACATCCGAAGCAAGATCTAGGGAGTCTTGTGTCCAAGTTCTTGAGTCACTGCGACACCTGGGGGGTAATCAAAGGAGCTGAGTCCCCCAGTTCCTGCGTCAGTGGCCCCTGTAGCTTTGACAGCCTGACTCACTGCGTGGGTCAGACCAGACCCAGGCCCCTCCCCCAGCCTCCTCGCCCCTCCTCTTCCAGCCCCCTCGCTCTCCTCATCTTCCTCCTGTTCTCTTCCCCTTGACCCTCAAGCTTACTGCTTGTCTCCCCCCATGTCCCACTCTAACCCAAGGAGGCTTATGAGATGCTAGGGAAGGGGAGGAAGAGAGGGGCTGAGGTGAGTTCCTGGCATTCTTACACATTGTGACATAGGCACCAGGCAGACCAGACTTAACATACACTTACACAGACACACATGTGCATGTGTATGCACACACACATGCACGCACACACATACACACACCTGATGGAGGGACAGGCCCCCCAAGAAGTCTCCTAGCTCAGTCTGTCAACATTAGCCCTGCCAGGTGGGCTCCCACACCCCTGTAATCCTTTGGGTCCTCTCATATTTCTGAGGCCCTCTCCTTAGGAACATGCTATCCTGCAGCAGCAGGAGGTCTAGAGGTGAGATAAGAGGATGAATCTCTGCCCTGAGGCCCAGGCCAGAGGTGTGGGATGGGTATAAGTGGGTGTGGTGGGTGTGTGTGGGGTCGGGGTCTCAAGATTGTTTCCTTCTTTGTGAGTGAGGGCCAGACTGACCTCTGGGCCTCTCCCTTCAAGAGCCCTAATCACTGGAGCTGGAAAAAATTTAAAAATATCCTCATGTTTACATTCTTTCCAAGCCCGCCTCCTGATCCTCAGTGCCGGGTCCCTTTGATCTGGCCCTGTGCCTCTGAAAGGGGCCTGGGAGAGAGGGAGCATAAGTTCCCCACAGGGGTGGACTCTGACACTTCCTTCAGCTCCAGACCAGTCCAAATGCTGTAAGACCCCTTAACATCACCCAAAGAGGGTCACCCAGCAAGGCTACGTGGTGGCTGGAGTTGGGGCCCCTCTCCACACTCACTCCCAAAAGTCTGGACCTCATGTTCTGTACTAAATGTGTTTTGAGGGATTAGCTCATGTAGTCCTCCCAATAACTCCATTTAAGTGAGGCCCATTTTATCAACAAGTAAACCTAAGCTCAGAAAGGTGAATTGACTCACCTGAGAACACACAGCAAGGATTAGGCAGAGCATGAATTACATGTTCTTCTACCTACACTGAGCTGCCAGTTACCACCTACCTTTTGCCCTAGCAGGGTCTAGGCCCTGCCTGCCTGCAGAGGGCCTCATTAATGTGACTCTCCACAAGCACTTGCGGTCCTACCACCAAGCCCACAAACCAGTGCTATCTTCATGTTTCTCTCCCTCTGTGACCCAGGAGAAGCCACACCCCTCTCTGACTCTTACTTTCCTCTACAGATGGCAGGAAGATCGCAGAGGAGGCTCCTAAGATGCTCAGGGAAACTGAGCCTGTTTCATTGGAGATTGTGGACCTTGTGGTCAGCCTCAGCACTGACACAATCAGAGAATGGCCTGGGGTTTGAAGGCCTCCCCCAAAAAAGGCCCTCAAACTGAAGCAGATGCTTTGATTTGCCCTGGTACCCTGTCATCGACTTTTTCCTTTGTTGCTGCCCCACCCACCTGCTCACTAACTCATGTATCTATCCACTTATCCACCCACCCACCCATCCACCCATCCACCCAACTACCCAGCCATCCATGCACCAACACACTCATTCAACCACTTATCCACCTATCTACCTATCTATCCATCCAGAACGAGGACCTGGAAAGCAGGTGATTTCAGAGTCCCAGCTCAGGTGCTACATTCCACTGGCTGGATGAACTTGGGAAGATCCCTCCAACTCTTTGCAATTCATTTTCTCAACTTTATAAGGAGTTGGCTGGGATGATCTCTAAGGCCCTTCTGGGAGATCTTGTGGGAGCTGAGACCAGCTGAAGGCTGTGGACACTTCTAGAGCGGTTACTCGAATCTTGACCAGACAGACCCACCTTGTGTCCTGCTTCCAAGACTCCTAGTTGCAGCCCTTAACCTCTCTGATCCTCCACTGGAACATGGGGCCAATAATCCCGCCCTTACAGATTGATGGGAAGATTAGATGAGATGCTGCCTTTGAAGAGCTTTGTACCCCGAAGACTTCTGAATGGATGCAGGTCAAACAGATGAACCTGGGAGATGGTCAAGAAGCTCTGCTTGAACCACAGTAGTCAGCAAAGCCTCCAGTTTTGGGGCCAGGGCCCAGGATGGGATCAGCCTCAGAGACCCTCCCTGGTTTGGGGATCCTGGCTGAGTTTCCCAGCCTTCCCCAGGCCAACCAGGATTCCAGCCCCATCTCTCTTGGTCCCCATCCCACAGAATCTGCCAGGAGTGAAGCAATTATCTCCTAAAAATAGGGCCTGGGCCTCACTGAGGTTGTTTTTCTCCCCTCCCTGTGATTTACTCTCATCAGCTGAGGGTGCCTGGGACAGCAAGTCCCATCCTGGCTCCCCAGAGACCCTTGGGATGGGGTCATGGAGAATCAGCATGCGTCTGGAGTCAGTCAAGGGTCAGGGATTAGAGGTCAGTCTGGAGGTTCAGTCAGGGCTCAGCAGGCACCAGGGCTGTGGTTTAATTTTGGGCCAGTGACTGGGGTTCACCTGAGGCAGGAGCAGCCACGGGGGTTTCCATCTGAATGATTCCCCCTTCTCTGACTTTCTGCGGACTCACTATGCACTCACCACCCTGTGTGTGAAACCCAAAGGTGTCTTGGGGCTGGCATGGAGGCAAAAGGACCCATTTCCAGCTTTACTTCTCCTGTTACAGCCCCTTGGGGTCCTCACGATTCCTGCCCAGACCCCTCCTGAGACTAAGGGACCTCTACCCATCCCTGTGTGCAGGTGACTCATGTACAGAAACACGAGTGTGCTCACTCATGAGCACAAGACATGAACTCACAAGGTGCCCTCCCGCAGCAAAGATGATATACAGAAAAACACAAAAATGACACTCTCAAAGACACCTTCCTCAACAATTACCTGGACAGAGTTGACTCATCCAGGGTCTGTAGCCAGTAGTCTCCAAGTCCCCATGGAAATGACCCACCCTGCTCTAGCCTTGAGGTCTCACCAAGAACACATATGATGCCCCTATGACGTTCCCTACAGGGGACTCAGGCTTGTCCCTCAAGCCCCCAGACCCTTCTGTGCAGCAGGAGATGGGGAAGAAATGAAGGGGCAGGTGGACACAGGAAACACGCACATGCCCATGGACACTTGGGCACAGGCACAGCAGTCCTTTTGGGCCCATGCCCAGCTCTCTGAGGCTTTATTATTGGACAAACATGAGCTATTTGGAGTGCTCTTGTGGGCAGCTCATGAAGTCAGCGTTCAGACAAGTCTTGTGGTGTTGCCTCCACCCCAGGGCAGTTGAAAGTGCTTCTCTTCTGTCCTGGCCCAATGGAGCTGCAGTGCTGGGCCCTCTCCCAGTGGATTCAGATGGAGCCAGAGGCCAAACTCCCAGTGGAGGCTGCCTGGATCATTCAAACCTCTGCCTTCAGGGGCACACTGTCCACTGGCTGATCAAGGTCCTTCTTCCTCGACAGGGTCAAGTGGGTGAATATGAGGATGAGGAAGATGCCTGAGGGGCCCAAGAGGGATGGGTCAGTCCTCAGAAGGAGCTGTGGAACTGGTCCACCGCTAGAGACTTCCTGCTATTGATATTGGTTTAATAAGGAAGCAGCGTTTCCCAGACAGCATCCCCAAGGCTGGGCTGGTGGGACTCTGTGCTTCTGGTACCTGGAAGCCCTCCTGCCAGGCACACTGAGGCTACCCCAGAACCCTGCCTCCAAGGTCCCCTCCTCTGGGGAACAGTTTGGGAGGGGGTCATCTGGGAGCCAGTGACTTGTTCCCATGGACCTCTGAGAGAAAGGGACATTGTAGCATTATGCTAGAACCAGCCAAGAAAACTGGCCAGGAAAAAATTTAGTGGGGAGCTAAAGATAAAAGGGGAATGGAGAGGGAGACTTAGATTAAAGGACTTAAGCTAGAAAGACCTGGGCTCTGCCACACGCTGGCTGTGTAACCATCTACAAGCCACTTAACCTCTCTGAGCATCAGGGACCTCTTCTGGAAAATGATGTCATGCCGGGACCTACATCACAGGGTTGTGGGGCTGATTCAGTATGATAATCTTATGCTTGGCACAGAGCCTGTCACAGAATCATTGTGTAATAATATAACATTAACGCCGTTATCATGATGACAAGGAAGAATATGCTAACAGGAGGCAAGAGTATAGTGACTATGGGAGTTGGCTGGGGTGGGGAGTGGGAGGTTTCTTCTCCAGCCTGGAGGGCATCATGGGAACAGGGGCACTGTTTATCTGGAGGCTGTGTCTCCACCCATGCTGTCACCCTCCCTCACAAAGGAGCCCAACTTCCATTACCTATTGCCATCAGGGTGCTCATAAGGATGCCCAACGCTGACAGCTTCGTGGGCATGCCCTTCATGCGGCCCACCTTGCGCATGCACTCTCTCTCCACATTGCAGCGGCACACGATCACTGGGGACAGTCAGGGGTGGAAGAGAAGGGTGGAGGGGAAGGGCTCCCCAGTTGCTCAAAGCCCCAAGCCGGGCTCAGTTGGCCGGTATGTATGTATGTGTACGTTCATGCACATGTATGTATTCATGTGTGGGGAGGGGTGCCATGCTCCTCAGTGTGTGTGCCTGCATAAACATGAGTCTGTGTGTCCAGCCAAAAATGTGCAGGTGTGCACAGGCATTTGCTGTCCATGGGAGCCTGCATGCATGTGTGTGTACCCAGCCCCTCACCCTGCATCCTTCTCTGTAAGGCCACACAGAAGCCCTGGCCTCACCTCGGACCGGGAGCTGCCACATCTGGCCATTACGGCTGACAACTACGGGGACTACATGTTCACGTGGCTCCACCCAGTGCAGGGCCAGGGCGAGGTAGGCATGGGAACCTGTTGGCACCATAAGCAGTGATCAGAGTCACTAGCCTGGACAGGCTTCTTGGGGCTGCTCTCCCTAGATCCAGCCCCATCCCCACGGTGGAAAGACATCTCACTTCCAAGCGCCATCCCCCCACCCCCACCATTCCCCACCACCCTCCACCCCCCACTCCTGCCTGGGTCATAGCCCCTCCCCTTTCCCCCACCACACACCATTGAGAGCCTGGAGGCGCCAATCCCGCTGCACAGTAGGGTTGGGACCAAGGGCAAAGCTGTAGGAACTGTGACCGCCAGCCTGGTCAAAGTCCTCACTGGGTCCACTGACAACCACGCCATGGTTCTGGCGAGGTGTACAGAGGTGTCGAGTGGGCACAGGGGCCAGAGTTGGGAGCGGGGCAGAAGGGGACTTCAGGAAGTGGATCACGACGGTCACAGACGTGCTCAGTGTTGGCTCGTCTGCAGAGGAGGCAGTGCTGAGCCCTTCTGGGCCCTTGTGGGGGTGGGGTGAGTCCAGAGTCCTTAGGCTGGTCCCTTTCCCCACGGCCCATCAGTCTTACCCTATTTGATTCCCCTGCCATACCCGCTCCCTCCACTCTACCCACTCCTCTCCATCCCCATCGTTGTCCCCATGCCAGTCTATTCCTCACAATGCCCTTCACCCCTTTCACTATCCAAATAACTGCCATGCCTTTCTGTGCCTTTCTGGATGCCAGGCTAGCCCTCACTGACATCCCCACCCCCCACCAGTCCCACTGCTGGTACCAGGACCCAACAATGTGGATGTGCCCTGACTGTAGAGCTCACCCCTGGACAGCTTAATTCAGAGCTAAAACTTGCCTCCCTGACATACCCACCCCTGGGCCAGCTCTTTATCCTGTCAAAGTGGTGTTTGGAGTCGTCCACACCTGACCTCAGTGTCCCATTCAGGCTCACCTCCTGGCACACCCGCCCAGCCCTTTACCCTCTGCTGTCAGCCTGTGTCTAAAGCCGACACCCTGAGAGGCCCTCTGGGGCTAAGGGGCGGTGTCTAGCCACGAGGGTGGTCTGAGGGGAAGACCAGGCATTCTCAGAGAGGGACACTGGACCCAGCCCCTCATCCCTCCCTCCTAACTGGGGTAGAGTTGATGTCAGCAAGGGCCCCGGGGAGGCAGCTTGGTCTTGCCTTTCCATCTGTCTGTCTGAGGTTTGTCTCCCTCCCAGAGGCCCCCATTGCTGCCTGGCCATACCTGCATCCCGGGCCTCCACAAGCACTGTGTACATGTCCCCAGGCTGGGCGCCCCGCAGAGGCCGGGCAGTGTGCACCTCCCCAGAGACCTCTTTGATGCAGAGCCAGCCCTCTGAGTCATTAACCAGGGAGAACCTGAGGCCCAAAGAAGATGGAGGGTGGGGAGGCACTGGTACCATATATCGGGTCTTGCCCAGAGATATCCAGGGCCTTGTGACCTGCTCACGTTCCACATCCCCTCTGTGACTTAGAGGTAGCAGCAGTGCCCAGGTTGCCTAGTCTCTCTACCCAGCTTCAGGGACTTGTTGAGGGCCAAGGCTTGACCCAAGGATGCTGTGGATGGGGAAGGGATTCTCAGAGTCTGGGGGGCTTGGTTCAACTTCACTAGTCCCAGGTCATCCCACAAAGGGGCCAGGATGGGGCCAGAGCCTGGGAACAGCCTTGTCTAAGCTAAAGTCTGGATGGGGGGCGGCTGGAGGAGGTCCTGGTCCAGATAATATGAGGAGGCATTATCTGAGCTCTCGTAGGGTCCAAACGCCCCTCTCCCTGTCCTATCCAGCTCGTTCAGCCCTGATATCCGCCACCCCCACCCCAGGAGTCACAACCTTGTCATGAGCCACAGTCTGAGGAATATTCCAGACCATAGATAATGTGAGTCACCTCTGAGGCCTTGGAATTATCCCTGGGGAGCAGGGGAGATCCAGCTCAGGTAAGGGGCTGGGCTTTTGGCTCACCTGAGGGGACTGCTCATGGGGTCTGAGGGCTGGATGGTCAGCAGGAGGGAGCCGGCTGGGGTGCTGACTGGGACATTGGCTTCATAGCTCTCTTGGTCCAACTTAGGGGGTGGCGTCACCCTCTCCACCAGCAGAGTCACCGTGGCTGTGGCTCCAGGGCCTGGGCCTGGCCCCACCAGCTCTGCTACGCTCCGCACAACCACCAGCAGCATGTGACTTGGAGCTGCCTCATAACTGAGGTTCTGGAACCAGTGGGGCCTGGGTCACTGTGTGTGCCAGGGCATGGCACACTTGTATATGCATGTGTGGGTGTGTATACCCCTTAACCACTCCTGGCCCCTTACCTTGAGGAGTCGCAGTTGGACATGACCAGAATCTGGTTCCCAAGCTAGGCCAAAGGTCCCATCCACATCCCCTGCCTCAATGGCAAAGTCCATGAGGCGGAAGGCAGGCTCAAGGTCAGCATCAGTGGCCACAAGTGTGGCCACCAAAGTTCCAGGCTCTGTGTCCTCGGGGAGGCTTATGGGACCAATCTGGAGATATGTGGAGGGGCCGTGAGTCTCCCATCAGTACCTTCCCAAGGTCTCTTTTTCTCCTCCTGCTTACCTGGGAAGTGGTGAACTCTGGAGCATGGTCATTGATGTCCGTGATCGTGACAGAGACCTCACATGTGCTGCTGAAGCCTGAGGCAGGGGAGAGCATGTTGAGGAGGCCAGGATAGAAACAGAGGGGACAAGGAGCCTGAGTCGTCATCAGGGTCACCATCAGGGCACTTACCACCCTCTGCTCCTCCTAGGTCAACAGCCAGCACTTGAAGCAAGATATTCTGGCCAGCGTGGAGCGGGAGAGCCCCCAGTGTCACACTGCCAGAGGTGGAGTCTAGCTTGAAGGCACTCCTCTCTGTCCCCTCCTCAGGCTCAGGGCTCAGTAGCTGGTATACAACGTGAGAATTGGGGGAACCAGGGGCATCCATGTCCTCTGCCAGCAGATTAGTTACCTTGGTGCCTGCAAAGACAGCACTCACTTAGGTGAGAGCAGGGCCCAGCCTGGAGGCCTTATGTCACCCACTCCTCTTTTGTGCTGGACTGAATCTGAGCTTGTGTGTCTGTGTGTGTGTGTGTGTGTGTGCGCGCGCGCGCGCGTGCACGCGCACGCTGTGGAGGGACAGTGAGGCTGGCCCCAACCCAAAGAACAAGATGGGATTGTTCATAAGGACTTCACCCTTCCCCCAGCTCCTGACAAAGACCATAGCCCACCTGGGAGGCTGAACTCAGGGATGCTGATTGGGGTACCACGTGGGGGGCAAACGGGCACGTTGTCATTCTCATCCATTACCACCACCTGCAGCTCCAGAGGTTCTGTGTAGTCCTCACCACGGGTATTCTGAGCCCGCACCTGGAGCAGGTACTATAGTGGGCAATGGGAGGCTTCAAATGAAGGCCAAGGGCAGCTTCAGCCTGGCCCGGGTCTGGGTGGCCAGCTCCAGATCTTCTGGGTGCTCTTTCACTGCCTCAGTGCCTGTGGGGGATGTGACACCCCCAGAAGCCAACCAGACAGTGACCAAGCACCCCTTAGTCTGCCCTCCTGGCTTCCCCCTCACCTCACCTCAGCCCAGGCTTCTCGGTCCAGCTCTCTGGTCACATAGAGTTTCCCCTCTGCATCCACATCAAAGGGTCCGGGGGGCTGGCTCTCCAGGTGATAATGTACATTCCCCCCACTCCAGTGTACCTGGGAGAGGGACGCAGAATGGGGGCACCCCAGGACAAGAAGCAGGAACAGTCTGTGTCAGTCCTTATTGCCCAACTGTTCCCAGATGAGGAGCCTGGGCCCCAATTACTATGTGACCCAAGGCAAGTTGCTATCCTCCTTGGAGTCCAGGTAGGGTCCTTCTGTTTGGAGCACTTGTGGTTGTAGCAGTTCCATGGTGGCCTTGCCATGATCCAAGCCTGGGCCCTACCCAAAGTGCCTGAATGACAAGGTTGTTTGATTTTCTGCCCTCTCAGGCTGGGCCTGACCCCAGGGCATTCCTAGAAGAGGCCTGAGACATTCCTGGCCTGGGTGACAATCCCCATGGCAGCAGGAAAGTGGCAGCTGTTGTCCCTGAGGAAGCCTGGGGCAAGTTCAGGAGGTCAGAGCACAGAGCCGTGCCTGTCAGAGAATAGCAGGTGAAGGGCTGTGGGCCTGGTCCCAGGGCTTTGAATGTCCTACTACATGATGAAAACTGATGCGGACAGTGGAGGGAGGAGCACAGGTAGACGAAGATGAGAAATCAAGCTGGGCCCCAGACCCACCCTCCAAATCCCCATGAGACTCAGGCTCAGCTGTACCATCCATGGGGCTACTTCAGCTGCTGACAGCCACTTACTCACCTGAGCAATATGGTGTGGGTACAGAACTTTGAGATTCTCTGCCAGGTGGACAGGATCTAGGGGCACCCAAGTGCTCTCTACTACAGAGACATCTATGGTGGCTGTGGCCTGGTGGCCTGAGGCCTGGTCACCCATATCCTTGACCTGTACCAACAGCTGGTAGGATCCCTCCAGGGCCTGATCTAGGCTCGTGCTCCCTAGAAGGGGCAGGGGGCTCAGATGAGTAGGGTGCTAGGGAGAAGGGGTTCAGAGCATCTTTTTCAACAAGATACTAAACACAAAGCCAAGCATATGGCAGGTGTTCGGGATATTCCCTTGGCCAAGTCATGAGAAGGACTTATAACGCTATTGTGAGCATCCAACTGGGACTTGATAGTTTGCAAAGTCACTTTCACATCTATTCACACAATGAATGATTGATGAACTGGTTGAGTGGATCACCAGGATGTGGGGAGGAGTACATGGGTGGATGGGTAGATGAGTAGATGACTGGTTGGATGAATGGATGGTTGACTAGGTGGGTGGATGTGGGTTTGGGAAGCAGTAAAACGGATGGGGATTTGGATGTGTTTGGATGGATGTTTGGATAGACTGACTGCATATGTGGTTGGGTGGTAGATGAGTGAATGGTTGGTTGGCTGGGTGGGTGTCTAACTGACTTTTCTTTCTATTCCCAGCCCATGGCTCTGATCTGAAATCCCAGGTCCAGGTCTTTCTTGCTGTCAGTCGAAAGGTCTCCCAGCAATGTCCTAGGCTATAAACCCTCAGATCTCTCCTATCTTTGTTCCTTAGGCCTGGCTTTCCAGAGTGCAGGGCTGAGAGCCTCCATCCACAGGCTTTCTTAACTCTCCATGCATTGTCCTACCTCCATGCATGGTTCATGCATGGCCTTTTGTCTTGCTACTCTCTCCGCCTAGAATGTTCTTTCCTCTTTTATTTTTCAAGCTCTAACCCATTCTTCTATTACCATCTTCCCCAGCTTTCCCTGACCCTCCCCCCCATCACACCCAGCTCAGGCTCACCCTTGAGGCTGAGGGCTAGAGCCCCCAGCTGAGGCTCCAACTGGAACATGTCTGGGGAAGGCTTAGCTGGGGCCTGGTTCAGGATGTGGAATCGAAGATCTGAGTTGGCTGTGCCTGGCTCATCCCTGTCCGAAGCCTCAAGGAAGAGGAAGGGAATGCCTAGTGTGTATGAAGAGGACAAGCTTAAGGATTAGGGAGGGTGGGAGAGTCTGCCATGCCTCCCTATCTCTCCCTGGTCCTTCCTTCCATATCCGCCATTATATCAGGACTCAAGGTGAGCCATGGCTTTTTACCCCACTTTGCAGATGAGCAAACTGAGGCCAGCATGGATGAGACTCACCTGAAGACCTTCAGTGGGGTACCGATGGGACAAAAATGGGAGGCAGCAGCTTGGACTCTGGCTGCCCTGTCCCTATCCTGACTCTCTGGCCATCTTTTTACTTTTTGTTCTCCTGTCAGTGCCCACCTGACCTTGCTGTGAGCTGGCCACCCTTGGCACTCACCAGGCCTGGTGCCCTGGCTCAGCTGAATTCTGTAGATAGCCTGGGAGAAATGGGGCACCTGGTCATTCTCATCCTTCACATGCACAAGCACAGGCTGTGGGCCCCACAAGACACGTCCATCCTCAGTCTCCAGGGTGACCTGCATGGAAAGGTAGTCAGTGCCCTGCCCTGACTTCACTGCTCTCCCCTGCACCTGACCCAGCCCTACCTGTAGCTGGTACTCTGCTTGTTCCTCTCGGTCCAGGGGCTTGGTCACCAGCAGGAAGCCAGACTCTTGATCCACAGCAAAGGGGCCCTTAGCTGCCATGCCTAAATTTCCTGACAGCACAATCTGGCCCTCAGCTTCCCCACGGGGCAGAGGCAGCTAGAAGTGAGGGATAGACATGAGGGGAGTAGGGGCCAGGCCTGGGGGATGGCCTCTCCACCCAATGGCCCTATTTTATATGTGAGAAAGTTGAGGCTCAGAGGGGGCTAGCACTTGCCTGAGGTCATACAAGTAGTAACAGGACTGAGATTCAAAGCCAGAGCTCTTTCCCTTGCACCTGATGCCCCCTAATACTCCCCACCCTTCTTCCTAAAGTCTGAAACTCGTCCCCCAATACTTCATTTTTTTTTAACTTAAAGTTCTACTTTCTTAGGGGATTAAAATCTTTCCAGTCATGCACACTATATCGCATATTCTCTGGAGGGCAGAGGTTAAATGTGAGCCGAACAAGAAGAGAAGGAAATGCTGAAGGCAGAGGAAACAGAACTTGGGGAGAGGGCAACCCATCTAACATTCAAGCTCACCTTGGTCAGGTACAAAGGAAAATTTCCACCATAGTTTTCCGGGACTTCCACATATAGCTCTGTGGGCTGGGCCTCAGGGAAAGCCTGTAGGAGGGTTCTCACCTTGTCACCAGGCTCTATCTTCCTGCCATGGCTGCTGGGGACCTGACAGGGAGGGAAATTTCTACCCCTTCCCTGGGCCTGGCCATACCATGGCCTGTTCGCCCTTGGGCCTTTGACTTCATGATCCCACAATAGGCCTATAGCCAGCTCCGATTCCCTCCCTCAACTACTACCATCCATGGTCAGTGTAACTGGTCCAGGTGGAGTCGGGGACAAGGTTGTCAACCCCCAAAGCCAGGACCTAAAGGAAGAGAGCAGGGCCCAGCTCACCTGGGGGAAGTAGAGGCAAAGCAGCCACAGCCAGGCAGGGACCATGGTCAGGACACGCCTGAGGGACATGGCAGTAAGGATCCAGCCCAGATCAGTGGGCAGGGGGGTCCCTTCCATCACCCTCCCCTTAGAAAATATTCCTCCCCTCATCCCCACTCAGCCCCAGGCTTTGGCTTCTCCAAGCCCCACAGCATGTAAGTGTCCCTCCTTCTTTGACTAGACTTCCTCCTATTTAGTCACTGTGAGGCAGGCAGCCTGGCCTCTTATCCCCTGTCCTTCTATGCTGCCCCAGCAACTCTCGGAGGTGCCCCTCCCTCTCCTACCCACTTGGACGCTGCCACCACCCATTCCTACCCTTTCCCTTGCTTCAGCTTATTCTAAACATACAGCCAGAGAGACCTCATGATAGACTGGCCTCCTCCTCCTCCCCTTACAAAGATCTATGGCACCCCATTGCTTGCAGGGTAGCATGTAGCTGCTCTACCAGGCCCACTCACCAAGGCCCCCGGCTGCAGTCACCCTGCTGCTTCTTGGTTCTTGTCCCCACAAAGATCATCATGGGAGTTTCACCTTTAGATCTTTGTCTCCTTCCCACCTTAGCCTCCCCAGTTCGCGGATCTCAAAGTGGTAATTTCCCAGCAGCCCTGAAAATCACAAAAGTTTGAAGCTAGAAAGACGCTGATGACTCTGAGGGTCACTTCCTGTAGTTCCCTCATGTTGCAAGCAAGTCCTAAAGGACAGGGCCTGACCAAGGTCGCAGAAGATTAACCGCAGGCACATTTCTCCTGGAACAGAGGATTCTCGGTTCAGGGTCTCCAGGACTGTTCTTCCTTCCACTGCCATCCTGCAGATTCAGAGTCCCCTCAGGGCAGGGGACCTGCCCTCATCTTGGCATTTTCCAGCACTCAGCATGGAGCTGGGCACACAGAACACGGACAACCACTCCAATCTTCCCTGGACAACTGGAGGACAGGGCAGTGTTTCTCTTTCCCCAAGACACACCCCACCTCAGCCCTGCCCATCCCCCACCCCCAACTCCCAGGCCCTCACCTGCTGGTACCTAAGACTGGCTCCCTTGGTCCAGCAGCTAGGCAAAAGAGCTCTTTCTCCAAGGAGCACTGGCCAGGCCGGGTAGGGCGGGGTGGAGTACGGCAGGGCAGACACTTGAGCAGGTAGGCGGTCTAGCCACTCTTGCTCAGGAGTAGAAAACACCACTGGGCCCACTGCAGCAGGCCTGGTCTGCCCAGCCCCCCGAGTTACTCATTAACTTTGGAAAGCTGGGGGCTGCCTAGCATCCATGACTGCCAGCCCCGGGAGGTGTGGCGATCTTAGGCCTGGCACTCCTCCTGCCCCTGCACAGCTCAGTGAGCACTTCTTAGTCTTCTGGGCTTAGACGCTGCGTCTTCGGTTCCGAATCCTCAGATTCAACCAACCATGGATTGAAAATACTTGAAAAAGAAATTGTTACATTATTGCTGGTGTGTCCTATATAATTAGGCTTATAATGTCTGAGTCTGTACTGAACATTTACATGCTTTTTTCCTTGCCATTACTCCTGAAACAATACTGTATAACAACTATTTACATAGCACTTACATTGTATTAGGTATTGTAAGATGATTGAAGTTTTAGATATTATAATATATTTGCAAGATTTATTAAGTATTATAGAGATGATTTAAAGTATACAGAAGGATTGCATAGGTTATATGCGAATACTACACCATTTTATATAAAGGACTTGAACATCCGCAGATTTTCGTGGTATTTGTGGTATTCGTGGGGGTCCTGGGACCAATCCTCTGTGGATACAGAGGGATGACTGTACTTTTTCTGTGGCTCTAGACTCGATCTCACTTGTGCCCCACGCACTAGCACTGCAGCTCCACCTTGGCCCACTCTGTTCTTTTCGTCTGGAATGCCCTTCCCACCCCTTCATCTGTCTGTTGAGCACCTGCTCCGGCGTTTGTACTCAGCTCACATGGCCCCTTCTCCAGGAAACCTTCCCTGGGTTCCCAGGCCTGTTCACGTTCTCTGGGAATACCCCTCCACCCCATGCCATGTGCTACCTCTATCAGTGCAGAAAGGACACTAGATTTTCATTGTCTGTCTCTTCCATCAGACTGGGAGCCCCTCCAGGGCAGCACTCAGGGACCAGCAATGACCTGGCCCTTGCCTGGCCTCAGCAGCTCCAAGCTGGCTTGTGGAACTAAGACAAGGAGCTGGGGGTTACACATGCAGTAGAGATGAGCAGTGCACAACCTCAACTGGGTATTCAGAGCTTCAGACCACCCACCAAGGAATTAGTGGGTGGGGGACAGTGGCCTGTGAGATCCCCTAAGTCTTCCTAAGTGCTCATACTAGCCCCTGGACATTGACAGGGCTGAGACAATGGACTGTCTAGTGCCTCTGAGGAGGAAAGAGAAGATTGAGCCAGCAGCTCAGGTGACCTTGAGGGAATTGCAGGGCTGACCAGGGGCCCTTCCCCCAGTGAGGGCAGCCAAGCAGAGCCAAGAGAAGCTTCCGGGGCCTGGGAGTCCAGGACGAGGGGGGAGAGTGGGAAGGGTCACAAGGTCTCTAATCTCTCCTTGTCCTCAGAGCTTCCCATGGTCTCCCCTGAGTCCTTCCTACTGCCTATCTGGTTAGTTTCTCTCAAGCTGGAGGCTGAGTCAGGACCCCTCAGCTGCCCTCAGCCTTGTCTCTCACAAGCTAAATGCCTGCCACAGGGTCATTCAGGCACCTCAGGCCCCCTAGCCTAGAGCAGTGCAGTGTGAGAATGTTGAGAGGTCTCACATATGTTAAGCTCCTACTGTGTGCCTGGACTGATGTAAGCACACACTTTCATTATTCCACTCACTCCATTCTGAAGGAGACATCATCCCCATGTCATACATTGGGGCACAGGAAGGTTGAGCGGCTTGCCAAGGGTCACATGGCCAATAAGTAGCAGCCCAGGAGGGTCTGGATTCTTCTTCAGGCCTCAGTACCTTCACTGCTTTAAAAACTATGCCTCGAAGTGCGAAGTGCGTTGAGGGGTGGGAGTGGAGAGCAGCAGCAGCTTTGAGCAGTTACCATTGCCCTGGGGGCATGCGGGTTGGTCACAGAGGTCACATAAACTGAGGAGCAGCCCTTAAATCTCTTGCCATCGTACAACTGCTATCAGGGTTCTTACCAGGTTGCAAAGACTCCCAGTGGGATGAATAAATTTAACTAATGAAGAAATGTATGGACCCTGGCCTGGGACCTTCTCAGAAACTGTCCCCGGCCTTGCCCCAGGCTACCTCCAGGCTCTGGAGACAGGGGAGACTGGCATAGCTGTCTACCAGTCCCTACTCAGCCACTTCTACCCAAGTGACCTCAGGCAAGTGCTTCAGTTCTCCATCTGCCATTGCTGAATGGGGATGCTCCTTCCTGAAAGGATGTAAGTAAAGTCCTGCTCCCTGCAGCTCCCCAACCAAGGAAAGACAGAGTCAACAGCCCTAACCTACCAGGAAATAGTCTTTATTACAAAAATCTGCATGTAAACAAATAGCCACTGCATTGAACAGCCTCCCTCCAGAGCATGCAAACCCAGGTATAGAGAAAGGTAGAGTCCTCTTCCCACACACAGCCCCGCCTCATGGGCTGGGCTTAGGCTGCTGCCTGGGATGCATATGGCCCCGCACATTCACCTCCGTGGGTTCATCCCTTGATGGCCACTGGGAGCCATCTCCCTGGGCAGCACTGTCTGTCCATGACCATGAGGTGGCGGATGCCCAGAGTCTGAGCCAGCCCTGAGGCACCTAAGGCAGTTGGCTAGGCCAGCCCACCAATCTGCCCATCTGTCTGCACCACGCAGTGAGTGCCCGAGGGGCCTAGAGCACTGAGAGGTCGTGGCAGGACTTGGATTTGGCTCGGAAGGCCATCTTGCGGCTGTTACGTGCTACAATGCGGCCCAGGAAGCGCTTCGCCTTCTTGCCAAGGCTCTCTCGCCGCCGGGTACCTGCTTGCCGACGTGCATTGGCCTCTTTGCTGTCCCTGCGCAGACGTATCTGGCGTACAACGCCCTCGAACAGTGCCTGGACATTGTGGTGCAGCGCAGCTGATGTCTCAATAAACTTGCAATCGAAGACCACAGCACAGGCCCGGCCCTCTGGTATATATGGAGACAGGCACACACCAGTAAGCAAAGGGTGGGTAGGTGAGGAGCCCACTCAAACCCTGGCTACCCCATGACAGCTACCACTCATGAATCTGGGTAGGGATCGCGGACCCCTGCGTCCTCCCCAGAAACAAAGACCCCAGCTCCGGTATAGAGGGTCCTGGGCATTGCTGGGTCACCTAACTGGCAGAGTGTGCTTAAGGAGCGCACAAAGTCCAGCAAAAGGAGACTCATTTACTGTAATAATTTGAAATCTGGTATGTAAATGGAAGAGCTGCAGTAGTCAACACAAGACAATGAGAACTCTGTTTGACACTTTAGTGTTCTATGGTTTGATGCTACATCATGAAGAATAATCAGTGGGATGGAGGGAGTGGAACATCATCAAGTCACAGCTAGGTTCCTGTAAGGGGCTCAGTTTGGGGGCCACGGAGAAGGATGCTGAGCCAAAGAGGGGAGGGGCCTCCCCAGGGGCAAGCCTACTTCGAGACTGGCCCAGGCCTGGGATCCTTGCTTTGACCTCATGACCTGTTTCCCTGCACTCTCCTCACCCCTCACCTGTTAGGCCAGAGATGAAGGGGACAGGAGAGAAGGGCCCTGAGGTGACCCAGCAGCCTCCACCTCCCCTAGAGAATTTGTTCCTCTTCCCAGCACTCTCAGGTTTTCGGGAGCCCTGAGGAAGGACAGCAGTTCTCCCTTTCCTCCCCCACAAGTTTTCTTCTTGAACATTCTTAGCCACTGATGATCCCCAGGGACTCAAGCTGAGTCAAGACTGAGTGGATCACAGCCCAGTCAGGATCTCCCTCCCTTTCCAACCCACTCCCTGCTCACCATCCAAGGAGACCTCGCGAGAGCGCACCAGATCGCTCTTGTTGCCCACTAGGATGATGGGCACATCGTCTGTCTGCCGCGCCCTCCGTAGCTGTACCCGCAGCTCTGAGGCCTTCTCGAAGCTGCCTTTGTCTGTCACTGAGTACACGATGACGTATGCATCCCCCATGGCCATGCAGTGTCCAGGTAGCCAGTGGCCCCCATCCTAAAGAACACACACACGCATCTACCCAATAGTCCTCGTGCCCCAGCTATAAGGCTGGCACTCCCAGCATGCACCTACCCCCAGCTCACCCCTCTCATCCCCACCCTGGGTCTCAGCCTGCATCTTACCTGCTCCCAGATGTCGTAGACCATGAGCGATGCCTCTTCTCCGTCCACCACGATGGAGCGATCATACGTGTGTCCTAAACCAGTAGTCAGGTTACCTGCTGCCTGCCAAAAGCCCTCCCATGTGCCAGGTTTTCTGTTCTGACCATACTCCCCAACTCCTCCCCAGAACCGCTCAATCTTCCCCTTTACTTATGACTACTATGTGGTGACAGAAGTATTGGGGCTGGGAAATGGGGGTGTGGAGGGCATGCTGTGCCTGACCTCCACCTAGACACCCCTTCCTCAAGCTAGCAAAGTCCTGGGTGGCCACTATGGGGCTCCCTGCCCTTCTGTTGCCTGGGCCTCAGGGTGGTTCTGACGACAGCGGCCTGAATTAGAATAGTAGCAGTCACATTCCCTAGATCACCTAGGGTGCCTCTCCTAGAAACTCACTCTGGCTGTGTTCCTGCCAGTCCTGCCAGGGAGGGATGTCCTGTACCCATCCTACAGAGTAATCATATGTATGCCCTAGGCCTTCTACTAAGTATTTCTTCCCCACCAAAGCTGGGAGTCCCTTCTCCCTTAGTCTCCCCATTTGTAAAATGAGTAGGTAAAGGCATGATTCTGAAATTGACTTCAGAATCTCTTGGTATTTGCCGTTTTTAATTCAGGTCCCCAGTCCTGTATCCCCAAGTCCTAACCTTGGGTTCTCCCCTCCCTTGCATAGCCCCAGCCCCTCACCTGCAGCCTCTGCTTCCGGCCCGTCCTCTACACCACCGAAGATGCGGGCCAGAGCGCTCTTGCCCACGCCAGGTGCTCCCAGCAGTAGCACCTTGTAAACGCTCTCGTCTGAGTCGCTGTCCCCTGAGCTGAGCGAGTCGGAGGAGCTCTCAGGCCAGTCCAGCCTCGGCCCCTGGGCCGCGGTTCCCGCCGCGGCGGTTGCCAGAGCGCCGGGAGCCAGCGCCGCCTGCAGGTCGCGTTCGTCCACCGGCATGCTCCGGCGGTGCAACGGAGGGGCAGGGCCCCAGGGTGTGCTGCCCCGACGGCGCTCGCGCTCCCGGCCCGCGCCGCAGCTCCCACCCGCTCCGCTGCCGCCTCCATTCAGAGTCATCTTGTCCGACGCCGTCTGAGGAAGAATTGGGATGGCCGCGTAAGCCGCAGTGGAGATAGAGTAGGAGGCTGGACCCCAGGCGCGTCTGCCCCACCCGGGGTCAGGGAAAATGCTCGAGACCGACGACCTGTCGTGGTCCCATCCCAGTCGTGATGGTCCTTGCGCCCTGACTTGTGACCCATCCTTCTGACAGTCGATCCGTAACCCAGGTGATGAGACCACCCCGGTCCCTCTCCGCCAGCACACTCACCCACTCGCACACGGACACGGTCAGGACTAGGTCCCGGACTCGGATCGCAGACCCAGGCTTGAACACTCAATGTTCTCACAGCCGCTGCCTTCTTTGTCCGTACTGGGTTCGGGCTCCGAGTCGCCTATTTAAGCCTCTGTCCACCCCCCGCCCCCGCCCCCGCCCCCGCGCTCCCCGGGTCTACGCAGAGGCCGGGGCTGACGTGTCGGTCCCCTTTCCCCCAGGGGGATCCCCCACCCTCCTCCTAAACCCTCACACCCACCGAGACCCCGCCCCATCCGCCAGGGAGGGGCAGAGGCAGACTCCGCGGACAAAGAAAGCCAGGGTCTGAGCGCGCTGTGTGTGTGTGTGTGTGTGTGTGTGTGGTGGGGCCAGGGAAGGAGGGGGAAGGAGGGAGAATATGTGAATGGTGCTGATGAGGTGGTGAGGATGGAAGCTGCCATCATGGATGGGGTCAAGGATCAACCTAGTGGGCCAGCTCCCCTCTGGGGAAGAATTAGATCTGGCCCTTTAAAAGTGAATTCTCCCTTTCCTCTAGCCCAGTCCTGGCCTGTTGCCCAAGCAAGCAGAACAGTTGTGGGCTGGTCAGACTTCACCCTTCTGTGCCCATTGACACCCACTCCCCACAGGCCCATATCTGAGCTAGAATTTAGAGGTCTTAAATCCAGCATCTAGTCTCAACACTAAGTTCTTCCCAGTCCCCTGGGGAGTTGAAGATTCTACCTGATGAGCCTACCCCTCTGGGTGAGGGTTAAGTGTTATCTCATGAGCTTCTGGGGGCCCTTGGAGAGCTATTTGGGAGAGGAACAAGGTAGGGAGGCCCTCTGGCAGTGTGCTGCAGGTAGAGGTGCAAGCTTGAATCCTGGGGAGAGAACACAGGTCCAGAGAAGGGAAAGGATGAACTCAGCACCACCTCATCCACCCCCACCCCACCCCCCAGCACCCTCCAGACAGCTGCCAGCAACTCTGCTAAAAATACCTGGCCCTGGCCTTGGCGCTGGTTATTTGGCTCCTGGGCTGGATGTTGCCCAAAGTGGGGGAAATCCTGGCAAGCAGGTGTCAGATGCCAGCTGGAGCAGATGGGGGTGAAACTGGACCAGGAACTGAATCAAGGCTGGATCCAGGCACTTTAAGAGCCTTCACTATCTCCCTACTTCCCTCTAGCTCCTGACTGAGCCTGCTGTTCAGGGCACATGCAGGTCCTGGAGGTTTAGACTCCCAGCCAGGAGGGGCATAGATACAGGGTGGGGGCGTGTAGCTCTTACACAACTTGTTGCCGCCACTGCCCAGAGCTCACCCCCTCTTCAGACCTAGGGCAGGCACCAGAGCACAGAGGGGAGATTTGATGAGGAGGCTTGGTTTCTAGTCCTGGCTCTGCCTCCAGATTTCTGGGTTTTGCAGGCATTTTAGCCTGAGGGTACCCATATATAAATTGGGCATGACCAATTCCTCCTTGCTCATTTCTGGGGTGAGGATTAGAAGCAGGCAGGATAGGAGGCGCTTTGTGACAGGGACCTGTATCAGACTCTGACGCTGGTTGTGACGAGTATGGCAGGGGTTTAGGGGCACCCATTCAGAGCTCAGGTGACATCACAGCCCTGGTGGGCTGCTGTAGGTTGTCATGGAGACCTGGTAGGGCTCTCTGGCTGCTGTGTCAGTTTCCTTGGCAACATCTGAGAGAACCTTGAAGTAAGGAGGGCCTGGCTAGGTATTAGGGGGTTCATGCAGGCTCTTCTTTTTCTTGAAGTCCCCAAAGTAGGCAAGGGCCAGAATGAGGGGTGGCCTATTGATTTGTGTCCTTCATGTGGTCTTGAGGAGTCTTGGAAACCTGGACAACCCCATGTGGGCTCTAGCTTCCTGGACTAGGTCTAGTGGGAAGAGGAAATCATGGGTTGAGCTTCATGTCAGAGGGTGCAAGTGTCAAGAGCCAGCAAACCACATCCAATCAGGATACTGGCTGGGCTGCTTATGGCCACTCCTACCCACCTGATACATGACCCTGCCATTGAAAAGAGGCCCTCGATATCCAGCAGAGGGTGGGTATGGGTGGGGGTGGGTACCTGTGGCCCTTCCCAGCAGGGAGCCATGCAAAGAATTAGGACTGGGTTTCCCCTCTGGTAATCTGAGTTCTTGACCTCATCAGTATTTCTTCATTGCCATGGGAACTGCATCCACATTGGGCCACTCAGGCCCCAGGCATTCCCCAACAGGCCAAACACACCACAAGCCTAGGTATGGCCAGAGGATCCAGGAACCAAGACCAGGACATGACCTTGAGACATCCCCACTCCCACCTCCTGGTCCTCTCAGCTCTTTAGATAGCCCAGCCTTCAAATCCCACCTCTGCTCCTTGCTAGTTGTTTCACCTCTCTCCATCTATCCTGGCTAAACCTCAGTTTCCTCTTGTATAGAATAGGGATAATGTCTTCATGGAGGTCATTATAAGATATAAACATGAAAGGCAGATGTAAAGTGGTTGGCACATGTTTGGCAAAAGTTTTATCTCGATAAAACTTTTATTATTGTGCTTCGTTGGACAAGGCAGGTTGAGTGAACCCATGGGCCCTACCCTGTTGCTTCTTTCCTACTTCTGCTCCATTCTTTCCAGAACAGTGGTCTGCCTAGGAGAGGGACCAATGCAGATACCTCTTCTCTTTCTCCCATACTCATTTCTCTCTGTGGGACCCCACACCCTTTCCCCTCCCTCAGGTAGCAAGATATTGCAAAGGGAACTTAGCTGGGTTTCAGGACCTCCGGTTCTCCTCACACAATAGCCTCCATACCCCAGTTCTTCTGTTCTAAGGCTCAAATCATTCATTCATTCCACTGACCTCTACTAAGTACCTATCATGTGCCAGGCTCTTGTGCTATGAGCATGATGATGAGCAAAAATCGACATGGCTAGGCATGTTCATACATGTCATCTAGTCCCTGGGTCAATCTATCTTAGCTATGATTTGTTGTTCCCATTTTGTAGACATGGTAACTGAGGCCTGAGAAGTCACAGGCCAAAAACAAGAGAGCCAGACACACCTGGTGGAAGACTTAAGGGACCTAAAATTTCACAAATACCACCCCCTCCCCACCCCCGGCCTTTTACCTCTGTCCTCAGACAGCAGCTGAGTTCCAGAAAGTTCCCTGGGCACTAGCCCAGGATTCACAGTTGGCGTCCCTGCAGGCAGCCAGGGGCCTGGCATAGATGAGTCAAGACTGACAGGGGACTATCTGATATGCTAGCTGTGACATAAGTGGCTTGATGTCCCTCGCCCACCATGACCTGGCTGCCAGGAGGGCCAGCTGAATGACTCAGTGTCATCTGCCACCCCCATGACCTCCCACCCCAAGCTGAACAGACACCACAGACACCTTACACAGACTGGGCTGTCAGTGCAAAGGTACACACATGGTGAAGCCTACAGTCTGGCCTTGGTGGCTGGGAAGGCTCCCTGGGGCCTGAAGGGCCCTGGTTGGTCACCCTGCCTCTCTGGAGCACTGAGCTTCTTCATCTGTGGAAATGAGGGGTATAACACCTGGAAGATCACCTAAAAAATGGGCCCATTTAAAATCTCCACAGAACAGTCCCAAGCAACTGTCACAACTATCCCCACATCACACATGAAGAAACTGGGTGACGTGATGATGGCTTCACTTTTCTGATCTTGGGCAGCCAGATCTTGGTCACTAGGTGGTCAAGCCACTCTCTCCTGGAATTTGGGGGGAAGGGGTGGGCATAGGCCCTTCTATCCAGGCAACAGCGCCCCCTGCCAGCTGAGCAGTACCTGCTAAACTGTTCAGGTTCCTCTACTCAGTAGCTGGAGGTCTTAAGAAATAAATTACTTATTCCAGAAGTTCATTTCTTCACCTGCAAAATAGGGATAATAGTAACTGCCAAACAGAGCTGGATCAAGAATTCCCCAACTACATAGTATATGTAAAGCCTTCTGCCACTCCTAGGACAGGCTCATGTTGTCAGTGGCACTCAAGAACAGATTTGCCAAGTGCCAGGCTCCCTGCTGAGGCCTAGCCCAGTAACAGTTGAG